GGATTGGTGGTCATGGGGCTGGAACTCAGGGCCTGCACACTGTCCTGTCCCTGAGCTCCTTCTGCTTAAGGCTAGTGCTCTACCACTTTGAGCCACAACACCAGTTGCAGTTTTCTGGTGGTTAATTGGAGATAAGAGTCTCATGGGACTTTTCTGCCTGGGCTGGCTTTGAACAACGATGCTCAGATCTCAGCCTCCTGAGTAGCTAGGATTCTAGGGGTGAGCCACCAGTGCCCTGCGAGATCCTATTTTTTTTTTTTAATGGTGAAATAAAAAGGGCTGGAGATGTGGCTCACGTCATAAAGTACCTGCCTATCCAACAGGAAGCCCTGAGCACATCAAACCTTAGCACTTCCACAAAAAAATAAAAGAAGAATTTCCAGCATGTTGAATACATGCTGGCCATGTGGCAGGCACCATGCCAAACACTTTAAACCTAAGGTGTCATTTCATCTTCTCAGCCTCCTACGAGTCAGGTGTTTCTGTAAACCTCATTGCACAAGAGCAATGAGTCAGAGGTTTGGCTGGCATCTTGTATTTATTTGTTTGTTTTGTGCTGACACTGGGGCTAGAACTCAGGACCTTAGCTTTTTTTCCCCACAAGGTTGGGGCTCTACCATTTGAGTCACTTCTGGCTTTTTGTCTGATTTGTTGGAAACAAGAGTCTCATGGACTTTCCAGCCCAGCTGACTTTAAACCATGATCCTCAGATCTTGGAGTAGCTAGGATTACAAGCATGAGCCACTCATGCACACAAATTTAGTTATATTTTAGCATGAGTCGTATGGGAGGAGGGGAGGCTCATCATTTTCCCATGAGCACATACTATATCTTGATTAGCCAGGCACTAGTCAATTTGATTTTTGCATGTTCTTGGTTTTAATATTGGTAAAGACTTATGGAAACAACCTGATGCCCTACAATATAAAAAAAAAATGTGGTACCTATACACAGTGGAATTGTACACAACCATTAGAAAGAATAATATTATGTCATTTTCAGGGAAATGGATAGACCTAGAACAAATCATATTAAGTGAGGTAAGCTAAGCTCAGTGACACACACAGAGCATGTTTTCTCTTATATGCAGAAGCTAGATCTAATATACACTGGAACATAATAAATTATAAAACTTAAGGCATTCAAAAACAGTGAGACCAAAGGAGGATATTCTTAGGAGAGGATCACAAAGGCACAATGCCTATGTGTCTCTGATCATATTAAATAATATTTATTGACATGAACTCCAGGATATGGAAACAAGAGGTTTTTATTCTTTGTTGCTGTTTTGTCCTCTTTCATTTTTGTCTTGTTTCTTCATTTATCTGTCTTTGGAATGGTAAGGGGGGAGGCATAGAAATGAAAGAAACCAGGGAAGGGGTGATATTGTCCAAAATGAAAAGTACTCATTACCTGCCACGTATAACTGTAAGCCCTCTGTATATCACCTTTATAGTAACAGTTTTTTAAAGATTGGTGAAGGCAGTCTTTACATGTTTTATTAGCGTATATTAGTTGTACAAAGTGGTTTTCATTGTGATCTTTCCATACATGCATGCAATGTACTCATCCACCTCCTCTTCCCTTTCCACTTTCCTCCTCCTCAAAACAATTTCCACTGGTTTCCTTGTTCTGTTTTCATACCTGCAAACAAACTATTCTGGTCATACTCACCTCATTGGTGAAGGCCCTTGTAACACAAACAGCTTTTGAGTTAGATGGATCCTGCCCACATTCTATTGCCTCCTTAAGACTGCACGTTTTACAGGGATAAAAACAAAACCGGATTGAATCATAGCTTAGGAATCAGCTATTTTTCACCTAGTGGTCAAACCTCAGGCATCTGTCAAACATGGGAACGGATTTGCGGGGTCACCAGTTCCTTCCCAGGTTTATATGATATCATCCCCGGTATTTTCATGGCCTTTGAGGTCAACAAGCTCTTAGCACAGGAAATGGGGAGACTTCCTTCAGGAATGCTGTGTTGGAGTCCCTCCTGCCCTGAAGCACAAAGATGAAAGGGAAACACACACACACACACACACAACAAGTGAGCAGTTGGATCTTCTCTGAGTGACTTTGAACCACAGTTCTCAGATCTCAAGCTTCTAAGCAGCTAGTACTACAAGAGTGAGCCACCAGTGCCCATCTGCAGCTTCTCTTTTGAGGAGCCATGGAGGCTAGTAGAAGTGATAAATTCCCATTTCTCATTCATTGATTCAACAAATATTATTTTTGTCTTATAAACAGGTCATTGTTTGCAAATAGTTCACTGGCCCAATGCCAGTGGCTCACACCTGTAATCCTAACCACTCAGGAAGCTGAGATCTGATGATTGTGGTTCAAAGCCAGCTCTGACATGAAACTCCATGAGGCTCTTATCTCCAACTAACCACCAAAAACTAGAAGTGAAAGTGTGGTCCTTAAGTGATAAAGCTAAAGAACAGAGCTCAGGCCCTGAGTTTAATCCCCAATACCAGCACGCGCACACACACACACACATGCACACACACACACACACACACACACACACACACACAACTTACAGAGAATAGTAGGTGGAGAGAAATGAGGCAAAAATTTTAAGTTAAGGGATGAGCATTGTGGCTCATGCCTGTAATCCTCATTACTTGCCAGGCAAAGATTAGGATTATTTTGGAGGCCCGTCTGGGCAAAAAGTTACCAAGACATCATCTCAACAAATAAGCCAGGGCAAAAGCAAGAGACCCTATCTGCAAAACCAACTAAAGTAAAATAGTTGGAGATGTGACTCAAGTGGGAGAGTACCTTTCTAGCAAGCATGAGGCCCTGAGTTCAAACTGCAGTACTACCAAAGGTGGGAGGAGGAGAGGGGGAGGTGGTAAACTGCAGCTAAATGGTGACCCTGGTCACAAGCTAAGCTATTTGAACTTGGGTTCACAGGTAGTGGAGAGCCATGGGGAAAACATCTAGCCAAGTTTTTTGGTTTTGGTTTTTGTGCCAGTCCTGGGCCTTGAACTAGGGCCTGGGCACAGTTCCTGATCGTCTTTTGCTCAAGGCTAGCACTTTACCACTTGAGCCATAGAGCCACTTCCTGCTTTTTCTGTTTATGTGTACTACGGAATCAAATCCAGGGCTTCATGCGTGCTAGGCAAACACTCTACCACTAAGCCACATTCTCAGCCCCAGCCAAGTATTGTAGATAGATGAAAACAACTGGAAGCGCTCTGCAGAGTAACCAAGGCTTGACATAGATTGCCTAAGTCGGTCAAGCGGGGGACAGGGAAGGGGGGTTGATCTAAACACAGATTTAGATCTAGCTAAATGGGGATCTTTCTGGACATTATGGCTCTGAAAGTTTAGCCCTTTGGGATCTCTTCAGAACAGGTGGAAGAAACAGATAGATGGTAAGAGCTCAAGGTGCTGAGGTAGGACCCAGGATGGAATCTGGCTCTTTTTTTTGGGGGGGGGGGTCTGGTCATGGGGCCTGAACTCTGGGCCTGGGCGCTGTCCCTCAGCTCTTCAGTTCAAGGCTAGCACTCTACCACTTAAGCCACAGCGCCACCTCCGGCTTTTTTCTTTTTGTTTATGTGGTGCTGAGGAATCGAACCCAGGGCCTCAGGCATGCAAGGCAAACGTTCTACCACTGAGCCATCTTCCCAGCCCCGGAATCTGGCTCTTTGTCTCGAGTCCCCTCATGTGCCGTGCAATGAGCAATAGCTCCCGAATGGTGTCAGTGTTAATTCCAAATTGTACATTTAAGTCCATCACAGGACTTCAACTCAGAAAGTGCCCCATTGGGGTGGGTCACCTATATTCTTCCAGCCAAGAAAAACACAGACCTGAGCCATATGAGTAAGATTGGGGCTGGAGGTAAAAGGGAAATGAGGGCTTGCTATTTTCCTCCACAGATACCCTGAGTTGCTTTGAGTATTTCTGGGTTAAAGGTGATTTTGAAAAGGTAGCAAGGGAGAGAGAAGAGCTGTGATGATGAGCTCTTTTAAAGTGCTTAGTTTGAAAAGACACAAAGGTAAAAAGAGAAAAAGAAGAAGAGCCAGCCTGGTTGATCTCAGTTTTAGTCTCTGGCTGCAAAATGACTCCCAGCACCCTCTCTCCATGATTCTCCCTGTTGGCAATTTGTATTTTCTATTCTTCTGCCACACTTCATGTTAGCAGAGCTCATTCTGGCGTTCTCAAAAATTGGAGTCTAAATTTAGAATTGGCCTCAGAACTTCTGATCTTTGAGCTCAATTTGTCGGAGTTGGCCCTGCCTGCCACAGTCACCTCTTATCACCATTTGTGTTGGACCTATTTGGTTCCCTGGTTGTCTTAGAAACAGGAATGGGTTTGATCTGTAACCGCCTAGAAATCTGAGCCAGAGCCCATGGTCTCCCCTGCAGGACCATGGCCCTACTGATTTCTGATAAATAATGTTCTCTCTAAGCAGAAAACATTTCCCTTCTTCTCAAGCTGGGCCCCTTGGTCCCCTTCCAAATTCTTTCTGTTCTCCCTTCCGTGTATTACAAGTTCCTTTCCTGCCTTTTCATCCTTGGAATCATCACCAGAGAGAAGAGAAGGAACAACCCCTGGTTTGTGCCTGAGCCCAGCTGTTCACCATCTGGACTCAAGCCTATTAATCCTTGACTCTCAACCACAATCCTGTCCCTCCAAAAGCCCAACTCAGGGAAGGACCCAAGAGATAAGGGACTCCCCAGATGCCACCAGTTTATCCTCCCTAAGTCTAGTAATTTTTAAAAAAATATTTTTTTTCAGGCACCAGTGCCTTGCACCTGTAATCCTAGCTACTCAGGAGGCTGAGATCTGAGGATCGCAGTGCAAAGCAAGCCTGGGTAGGAAAGTCCGTGAGACTCTGATCTCCAATTAACCACCAGAAAACCAGAAGTGGCGCTGTGGCTCAAGTGGTAGAGTGCTAGCCGTGAGCTGAAGAGCTGAGGGACAGAGTCCAGGCCTAGAGTTCAAGCCCCATGATCCACCCCCCCACACGAATATTATTTTGGGGGGTGGGAAAAATGTGTATTTATAATTTGCCAGCTGGATTCAGTTTAGATGATTCCAATTTTGTTGGCAACATCTAAAGCAAGAGCCAGTCGAACATATGCCTTCTCTCCATCAGGTCTGATCAGGGTATTGACCTTAGCCACATCAATGTCATAGAGCCTCTTCACAGTCTGTTTGATCTGATGCTTGTTGGCCTTAACATCCACAATGAACACCAGTGTGTTGTTGTCTTCTGTTTTCTTCATGGCTGACTCAGTGATCAGGGGGAACTTGATGATCGCATAGTGGTCAAGCTTGTTTCTCCTTGGAGCACTCTTCCGAGGGTATTTGGGCTGTCTTTGGAGCCGCAGCGCCTTGAGCCGCCGGAAGGTGGGTGAAGTGCGGATCTTCATTTTGTGGCTGTGGACACCTTTCAGCACTGCCTTCGTGGCCTTCAAAGCCTTTTCCTTGGCTTCAGCTTTAGGAGGAGCAGGAACTCCCTTCTTCGCTTTTGGCGCCATTGGTGAAAAAGCAATATTTTTATTTTGTAGCAAATACTTGAACTCAGGGACTTGCACCCTCACTTGGCTTTTTCCCTCAAAACTAGCACACTATCATTTGTGCTATAGCTCCACTTCTGGCTTTTTGCTGGTTAATTGGAGCTCAGAGCCTCATGGACATTTCTGCCAGGGCTGGCTTTCAACTGTGATCTTTAGATCAAACTGGCAAAAGCCAATGGTACCCAGTCTATGCCTAGTTCTAAACCAAGAGTCCAAAGATCAGCAGCCAGTTCTGAGTTTGGGTATCTGCTCACTTCCATATGCTCTAGAAGGAATCTAGCATTTCTAGCTGAGCTCATTCTCTCATGTGAAAGGCAGAGATGCATTTTATTTGGTGTCTGAAATTAGTTTCTCACCCTTAGATGCACCATTATTCCATATCCCTACTACCACGCACGACTGGGAAAAGGAACTTTTAGCATTTGGGCAGAACTTGTCACCAATGACATCCCTATTCCTGAACACATTAGAGTTTCGGCATGCCTCAGTGAACTCCAGAGACACAGGTCCCAACCCAAAAGGATTTTACAGACCCTCAAAGCCATCTGGGTTTCATTGTGGTGGTTTTGAAGGTATGCAAGTGATCTAAAGATAAAAGTGAAATTCTTACAGCTGTGTTTCCCAAATCACTTTACCAGGATCCCTTGTGGGGCTTTGCTGCACAAACCTACTGCCAATTAAGTTGGGGCAAATTTTGGCTTCTTGCCTATAGGATTTTTCAGCACTTTTAGCAAGCCAAAGCATCCGGAACTTAGAGCCACTACTAGAGGCTTTGTGTTTAACCTTTCATATTACAGCCTGTTTGCTTAGGCTATTTTGCTACTTCTGGGTTACAGATGACCAAACTCCCAAAGCTCGAGTGACTTGCTTAGGGTCCAGCAACTTAGAAGTAAAGGAGCTGGGATATAAACTTCAATCTAGTCTGAATCTAGATCCCATGGTCCTCACACTATGATATATTTTCTGCCAAAACACAAGCTTCCTTGACAAGGCAGCTGTGCTCAAATTGGACTGATTTGAAGAGAAGAAATCAAGGTAACAGATATGATGGTCAGAGGGAAGTGGACTTTCCACAATAGAGAGGGGGCCATTGGGGTTCACCACCGGGGAGGTCTGGGGGAGGTAGAAAGATCATTGGACACCGGATGCAGAGAATCACTCTATTCTTCAAGAGTGTCGTGTGGTGTGCACAGTTTGTGCAAAGAAAGAGGACAGCAAACTGACCCTCTTCATAAGACATATACCCATTTGTTGTTTGTTGTTGTTTTCTTCTTGGGGGTGAGGCTCAGTTGTGGGTGCTATCCCTGAGCTTTTTCACTCAAGGCTTAGCTCTATACCCCTTTGAGCCACTTCTGGTTTTCTGATAGTTAATTGGAGATGAGTCTTATGGACTTTCCTGCCTAGGCTTGGCTTTGAATCAGGCTCCTCAGATCTCAACTTCCTGAGTAGCCAGGATTACAGGTGCAAGCCACGGGTGCTCAGCTGTTTTCATTTTGTTGTTGTTTTGCAGGAATTTAAACCATCCTATAGAACATCACGGAGAATAGTGAATTCCTGCAGCTCATCATCTTCACTAAAGCCATGAGGTGGGACAATCTTTAGGATATGAATGGTCATACACACACACACACACACACACACACACACACACACACATGGTCTTAATGGTGTTATGTATGTTATAAATAAAATAGTCATATATGGATAATGTGAGTTTATATGCATATATACAGGTATACACATATGTACACATACAAATATATATGGATACATATATCCATATATATATCCATAAACATACATATACATGTGTGTGTGTGTGTGTGTGTGTGTGTGTGTGTGTGTGTGCATGTGTCTGTGTATTTTTAGTGCCAGTACTGAGGCTTGAATTCAGCCTGGGTGTTGTTCCTTAGCTTTTTCACTCAAGGCTGACGCTCTACCACTTGAACCACAGCTCCACTTCTGGCTTTTTGGTGATTCATTGGAGATAAGAGTCTCACAGATTTTCCTGCCTACATTGGCTTCAAACTGTGACCCTCAAATCTCATCATTCTGAGTAGCTAGGATTACAAGTGTGAGCCACTGGCACCTGACTCCTTTTCCTCTTCGTTTCAATTCCAGCCTATTTTTGAGATGAGTGTGGTTCCACTCTGCCTCATGCTCCTGCCTTGCTGCAGGACCAACCAATCAAAGCCTGGGCCCTTCAAAGCTGTAAGACAGAAGAAACCTGTTCTCTTTGTAAGTTCATTATCTCAGGTGCTTAATGACAAAAAAGCTGACTGACACAAAGGACCAAATATTTGATGTACTTCGGTTTGAAATCTTTTTTTAATCTCTTGCATAAACATTAATCCCTGTATAACATACAGACCCAGAGTGCAGTCTGTCTTCCATGATGGGCTGAAGCATTCCTTCTGGGACATCCCTATCTTTGTTAGTTATTTATGGCTTCAAGATACTTTCAAACTTAGTGACTGCAGTAACTATTCTCCAAGAATCTCCCTACAATCCAGGAGCTCACTTGTGAGTCTGAGAACAGGAGGATCACAGTTCAAGTCTAGCTTGGGCAGAAGTTTTTGAGACTCCTTCTAAACCCATATCAGAACACAATGGCACGTGCTTATCATTCTAAGCCATGTAGGAGGCTTAGCTCTATATGGAAAAGATCAGAGTTCCAAGGAAAAAACTCTCCAAGACTTATCTCCCCAGTAGGAAGCTGGCTGTGTCAGGGTGCACCTGTGAGCCCTCCAATGACAGAAAGTCTAAAGTAGATGTTCCACAGTCCTGGGGAGAAGTGGGACCCTATGCTAAAAATAACTGGTGAAAAAAGTGATGGAGGCATGGCTCAGTGGTAGAGTACCAGCCTAATAAGCTCACTGCCCTGAATGCTGCAAATAAATAACCCTTAGGGTTCCTTATCCTCCTTTCACACCTTAGCCTGTCTCCTCCCAGTTTGTTGCTATGAATGGAATAGAGTAGAAGTGATGATCCATGACTTTGGATGCTGGGACATAGAAAACCTGGCACCTCTCTTGCTCCGTGTACATCCTGTTGCACTTCATGGTGATTTTTCAAGTGATCCTACAGGACAGAAGATAACCTGGCTCAGGGCCTATAGAAGTAAAGTCTCAACTGAAGCCTATATGTCAAATCCTTCCCTTGGACTTCTCTTCCCATTAGACATAGGCTGCTGAAGGCCTATATCATAAATTACATTCATCCTGTTAAAATGTCTGGAGAAAGCTCATGTGTTAAAGGCTGATCTTGTATAGCACTTTGGGGAAGTGAAGGCCTAAGCACTCTGACCTCATCAGTGGGTTAATCCATTGATGGACTGCTAACTCAGTGGGATGTGGGAGATGATAGAAACCTTATGGGAGGGACAGGCCTGGCTGGAGAAAGTGGGAAACTGGAGGATCGTGCCTTTGAATGGCACTTCGATTGTAGATATCACTCAAAATTCCCTCGAAGGGGATCTTGTCCCTGGCACCTTCCTCTCTATCTTGCTCTTGCTTTCTTTTGGCTTCCTGACTGCTGGAAAGTGAATAGCCTCCCTTAGCCATGACTTTCCACCATGGTGTACTACAGGGTCAAGTGACCACGGGCCGGCAACCTCTGAAACCATGAACCTTGGTTACCTCAGGCATTTTGTCATAGCAATGGAAAACTGACAAGCACAAAGCCCTTCAAAACAGGCTCTCAAGGTGCCAAGGGATGCATCTGCTTAGTGTGTACACCGCAAAGGGGATTGTCAGCAAAGGTCTGGGGTTCAGTTTCCTCCTGGAACCTCCTGCAGCCACTGCCTTCGTGCTCTGGGGGAGCTCAGAGATGCTAAGCTAAAGGAGGTGCATCAGTCCCCTCTGGGGTATTAGTGAGGGGCACAAGAATCACCTCCTCCCAGGAGCCTCCTGGATGCCATGTAGCTGACTGGATACCCTGCTAGGCAGGTGAGGACCACAATCATGTCTGTTCTGAGCATTCCTGTAGCATCCACACCACCGCCGCCACCACCGGATGGGGGAATCACTGCAGATCACCCTATGCAGACAGGCATTGGGGTCTGACTACTGAGAATAGAGGGAGGGAGGAGAGAAGGGAGGAAAAAGTATAGGGGTGTACAGCTAAATTAATTTTGGAGAGGGGGTTAAGGATCAAGGGAATTGAAGAGATGTTGGGGCCTCATGAGCCCAGGTAGGGCTCAGGTAGGACTCTCTCTCTCTCTCTCTCTCTTTCTCTCCTCTCCACCTGGATATTTTCTGGAGAGTTATCCCTCTATTTCTAATCTTCCTGGTTTAAGGCCAAGGCCCAACTCACTCACTGACAGTTCTGGACCCCCCCCTCCTCCAGCCCCTTCCCTTCAGTCCCCCTCTCCAATGCCCCCAACATCCACAGGCCTCCTAACAAGCACTGAAGTCAGCCCTGGCTTGGATGCGAGTTTGAAGCCGGCTGAGCGGTGGCCCCGCCCCCGGTCTCCCCCAGCCAATCGCTGAGCCCCTTCCCAGGAGGGGCTGCGAGGGGTGTTGAGCCAGGGGGCTGATGTAACCGCAGACTTCAGCTTCTTTTGATCACTTATATCATTTTGCCATATATGGTCACTGAGAGCTACTGGCTGCGAGGCCTGGGTCCAGAGGGTGGGCTCCTAGAGTGAAATGAGCTACATACCAGCCCAGAGCCAACAGCCCATCTCTCACCCGGGCCCGGACAGGTGGGTGGGCCAAGAAAAGGGTTATATATAGTTCTGGTCACATTCTTTCCCTAATGCATCTTGGCCCCTGAAAGCGCAAACAATCTCCACTTCTGGCTTTTTTTTTTTTTTGACTGAATTTGCTAATTGCTATTCTTCCATAACCAAGGGAACAGAAAAAAATTCAAGGAGGAATGTGGTATGTGTGAGGGAGACCTTCTGGCCCTCTCCTTCCCTTGATCTCCTGGCCTCCTCCACTCCCTCCTCTTCCTCTTCC